TTACGGATCCTCCACCAGGTGTGAGAGACGTCACAGCAGATGTCCAACCATCAGGAGTGAAAACACAAACTACATCTGCTGGTCTGACCAACACTGTGAGGTTTGGATCCTCGGTGACCAATGAACTTCCTTTAGGGAAGAGGGAAACCTGGGAAAAGAATCCCGGAGATTCATCTCCTCGTGTTGTAGCGTCTGGTTACCACGGTAACGATGCGGTTGATGATGATGCATTCTACGATGATAATTTCTTTGCAACGTCACAAAAAGAAACCCAGCACAACCAACCCGAAAGTGGACCTGATCAAATACGCCCCAGATATCAAACGGCTTACTCACAAATCTCAGACATGACCCTCGCACACGCTCATGTGCCACACCTCAAAGCTGCCGCCCGCTCTCCGTCTGCCATGCGCAGGAATGTGGACGCACAAGCGCAATCTTCTAGTCAAACTGAGCTGGTCAGAGCCAGAACAGCGCCTGATGCTGGAGGACTGAGAGAGGGACAGCGGGACGATGAGGAAGGTGTTTCCATGGAGACGACAGCGACTTACAGCAGCATCACACTACCTGTAATGCAACCCAAATTACACCGCAAGTCAAAAGGTGCAGTTACTTTTTTTTTTTTTTTTACAATTAAAAAGGATTACATTTTGCATAAAGAATTCCTCTTTATAGGACCACAGTTTTTTTAGTTTTTTGTAACATTTTCATGAAAATTAAGTACACTTTACCCCCCAAAATTACTTAGAGAACTTAAAAAATGGGCCTAAAATATAATTATTTTGTTGTTGTTATTATCATGGGGTAATATTAATAATATTAATAATTTAATGTTTAAAAAGATCATTATTAGTAATAGTAGTATGCAAGCGGTAATATTAACAATATAGACATTTTATTTGTTTTTATTATTATGATGCAAGAAGTAATATTAACTATTCATTATTTTCTATTATTACAATAATAGAAATCATCCTTTCTAGATTTTTAAAAATTAAAATAAGCATGCATTCGATTCAGTAAAACATACTATCATGACAGATATTTGTTACAATTACAATTTTCTTAAAATAGTAACGTATGTACTTTTCAATTTTAATTTCTTTGTTTTATACCATTTCAGTACATTAGTTTCATTATGGTTTTGTTTGAACATTAGCAGGATCCTAAAATGGCCCTAAAATAAGATTTATTATTATTATGCAATGGGTAATATTAACAATATTCATTATTTTATTAGTGCTTTGAAAAGTGAATACTACTACTACTACTACTACTAATGATAAATATTTGTATTTTTTAAATATGAACAAGATATTTTAACTTAAGGTTTTCTTGCGTTAACCTTTGTTTTCATTCCACAGAGATAACTGGCTACCAGCAAACCTTACAAAATGTCACCCACAACAGGCATTTACCTGGGGGTGAGAAGTGCCTTCAAACGCCTTAAAACAGCCTAATAATACAGCTACCAATAGATTTTATTATTAAAATCAAAGTAACAGAAGTTTTAGGTCACACTATAGATGACATTCTGATGATGTCGTATGATCTGTCCAATCAGAGCTCTTGTTCGAGGTGAGTGTCGAGGTCCATCTGGAGCCTGAACATCATGAAGAATCCTCTTCCCTCAGATCTGCTCTAGAGACCATGGTGAGGCTCAACATTTTGATCCCCTTTCTAGATATTCAGAGTATTGTCAGTTGAGCAACTTTTGGGCTTAAAATTGGTTTATAGATACGAGAAGCATTTGGACATCTCACTCCAAAGAGCCTGGACTTCAAAAGACTAAAAAAGTGAGTATAAAGTTCTCTTCCTCCAGCATATTAATTGGGAGATCCTTCTAATCGATCTGCTGACAGACCGTCGATCAATTTGTTTCCAGGTTGAGTTCTGGCGTTTTGTTCATCGTGTGGCTGCAGTTTGAGAAGGTGGCTGTAGGGCTGCAGACACACGGGGACCTCCAGTCCAGGCTGCAGGGCAGAACCATCAAATCCCAAAGCACCAAAACACAGGGCGTCATTGCATCTGTCTCCACTGAAGGTGCTCTCACACCACATGTACATTTACTTGTCCTGTGGTCTTTCAGGTTACTCTGCATTTTCAGAAACCTTGCTCTGACCTCATGCTAGCCTACTATTATTATTTTAGTAATTTTAGTAATTTTGTTGTGTATTTGTCATTTTTATTTTATTTAAATAAAACGGCATTTTATTTTATTTGACATGTTTAACTTTATTACGCATTGATTTGATCTAGAACTACAAAAATTGGAATAGACCACTACTTTAGACTCTGGATGTTTGTTTATTTATTCATTTAAATGTAATAATTGTAATACATTTTGGAAAAGTTTCTTTTTAAATTTAACTTTTTAAATTTAATTAATCATTAATTAGATTTTCTTTGAACCTGTTAACTGTCAGTGCCCTACTAGTCGGACACTTGCTCTTTTTTTTTTTTTTTTTTTTTAATTGCCTTTTTCCCCGTTACATATTTTAGTAATCATCCTAATTAGATATCATACGAAAGCTTAAACACTTAAAATATATCTTGTGAAAAGAGTTTTGAAATCGGACATTGGGTTACCATGGAAATGGTACTTTAAACCTTTTTATCGGGCTCCTCCCCCTAGTGGGCAGTGTCAAGTGTAAAATTATAGAACTTACTACAATATTTTATAATCAACTTTTTCTAATCTTGACAAAGGAAAGATTCCATATTTGGCGACTGTTTTGTGATATAAATAATACTGTGACAAATTTATACATTTGTGACAGGAAAATTAATTTAAAAATTCAATGGAGTTTGGGTGTAGCCTGATGGCTACAGGAACCTTGATTTTTTTTTGTGATATCAACTTCAAATTTGGAACATAACACATAACTTGGTTAGACATGGGGCTTTGATTTTATAGAAATGATAGATTCCAAAATATTTTGTTAAATATCCATTTTATATAAACTAAAAAGGTATATATGTTATGTATGCATGTTATGTATATATGGTATGTATCTATGTCGTTCATTCATTCCCATATGGTCAAAAGCACATTATAATTATAAAAGAATTAGAAACGTATTGTTTAAAATACTTTTACATGGACACATATTATGCAGCTGTGATCCTACCAAAAACACCTGTTTTTCTGAATAATTTCTGATGGCCCATTTGTGTGTTTGAACAGACATCAATGAGTGTGAGACGCGAATGGTGGTGTGTGATGCTCACGCCGAGTGTGTGAATCAGTTTGGATCATACTCCTGTCACTGTACCCATGGTTACCGTGAGGTTCCTCATGGGCCGGGAGATAGCGTTTGTATGGCGTCTACTGAACCTGGTAAGAGCTTGATATTCAGAAGTTTATATTGACAGGTGTGCACTGTTCTGTGGGAGATTTCAGATAGTAACTTGAACTAGACCGCTTTCATATCACTTTAAAAGGACAGTTGAGCTAAAAATTAAAATTCTGTCATTACATTTCATAACTTAATTTTTGTCTCCCCTCACTTTTTAGACTGTAGTTGGACACCATCTCCCACAATCCTCAGGGGCGTTTATATTGTCCTCGGCCTGCTCATGTTGCTCATCATGCTGATGCTGTTGGTGGCGTTTTTTCTGTATCATCGATACTATAGAGGCTCGTTCCTTCCTCATTGCCAGAAAACGAGCGCTAGCAGTGTCGTGGAAACCGCTGCCAATTACGATGACACCAATAATAACACAGGAAGTGATGGTAGCGGTGGTACAAACCCGTCCATATTCCCCCCGCCACCTCCACCCATGAGGATGCCCAAAGATGGCCACCGCTCTCTGGACCTGCCGTTATTACGCTTCAGCTCTCTGGTGCCTCCTGATGGATTTAGAAGTAAAATACATACCAAGAAAAACCAGTTTTGACTTTCACTGTGTTACTTTTGTCTACTGTCACTGAATGCACTGCACCTCACTCTTATTTGTACTAGTGAGTTATTTATTTCCATGCTTCTTTGTATGCTTCTTTTCTGTTAGTTTATGATTTATGGAGTATTTTGGAAAATAATTGGCTTTTTGTTTCTTTTTTTTGGTCTATTCTTGTATTATTGTTCACAGAAGCTTTCTCACTCTTGAAAATAGAATTGAATAGAACACAAAAGCACTTTGTGTACTTTGTGTTTTTATCCAACTAAATCTATGTGTTTGTTTGTGAAAGACAAAATTGGGTGTGTTCAACAGAGAGAGAGAGAGAGAACACAAGAACATTTAAAAATGAAAACATTATTTTTTGTTAAAGTACGCGGGAATGTGCGAGGCTTCCGGTGTCAGTCCCTACTTATTTTACCCGTTATTCTGCTATATGTTGCTCACTGGTATTTATCATATTTTAATTTATTATCGTAATATACCGGTTTGTAGCACGGTTTTACCGTTTTCGGTACTCGGTTTACTAGCCGCTAACGGAAGTCTCGCACATTCACAGGAAATTGCTTCCGCGACGCGAGGTAAATTAAATTAATTTAACTTATGTCTAGCAAATTTAATTGCTTTTTGTAAATTCAAATTAGGAAACCTGTAAATTCGTAGTTTCCCCCAGATAAGCGTATGTACGTTATATGTGTATATATGTATATATACACACAATGACACAACGGCATCATAGACTACTGCGTGTGTGTGTATATATTCATTCATACATAGGTTTATATCTAACCTATATACCGCCAATAAAACCTCACTTTATAGTGCACTCTAAACAGTTCACGTTGTGTTTGTCAGGTAAATTATTGCGAACTGTAACCTACTCTAAATTAATAAATATATATATCTTTGACAGTGTTGGAGAACATGAAATGGCACAGTGATTTGAAATCAGAAAGTGATTTGTCACAAAAAATAAATGAATACAAATCAGCTCACTTGCGCCCTCTTGGATTATGGGACGTTCGTCTGCGCATGCGCACCAATCCGAATCATTTCCGGGCGACGAGACTGCTAGTAAGTGTGATCCGTACAGTTATTGCACTCCAAAAAAATCTTTAGCACATCGTATTAAATGCCGCGACTCGACGTGAAGCAGTATAAACGTTGGCAGCGTTACCAGCTGAATTCACGCTGATTATTTGTGTTTTTGTTGTCCAGTATGTGTCGCGTGAACAACCTGTTGTTTTGTCCAGCTGCTGCTTTTCTTAAAGCATCACGTTTGGGTTATGAATAAGCTGTTTTGCTCATGCTGTTGACCAGTGTGTGTGCGCTTTGTGTCTGATTTGACAGAGCACAGATCTTATTGGTTAGAGATGACTAATAATGCTTATTCCTAGCAGAATGCTCGCTGTTGTTTTCACACAGTGCAAGGGATCAGCAGCTCATTCGCATTGAATGAAGTCTGCATTACTGATGTGTGCCACTAAAGCCGGTGTTAACTGCTTGCATGAGCTGTATGTATTTTGTTATAAGAAAATGCATGGAAAGGGTCCATCTAGTATGTTGTGTTCCTGTTGCATATACTGTATATGTAACTAATTATTTGGAAGGAAGTGCAGTTGGACTGAAACTAACTGATGCTGTTTGTATTGCAGAGCATGTTGGGGTATATCTGGCAGCGTTTCTATTCCTCATGTCTGCGCTTCTGGTTGAAATGGTTCCTCCGGCTGATCACAGGAAGATGCGAGCTGCAGCGTATTTGTGCCCGATGCAAAGCTGGAGCTCTGAGGACGTCACAGATAGGTGATGATCATACAATTATGTATACCTTTATATATGGGAGACCAGTTAAAGGAGTCATTTGACCTGTTTGTAGTCAAATGTTCGGCTGAACTGTTCCTTTAAGACAGTATTTGATTTGTTATGCATCACTTTTGCAAATCTGTCGTTGTTGCTTTTCTTTGTAGAGTATTCTCTGAAGTCCTCCAAAAGCAAGGTAAGAGTGACGGACACACTGATTTCCGGCTGCTTCAGTGCTTTATTATCTGAGCTAAACATTAATATGGACCTGATTCCTCACTCAAGACCAATTGATCTGATTGATGACCTTCGCTCTATACTGTGCTGTAAAGTATGCTTGTTTGTGTTCGATCAGGTATTGCGAGCAGCTCTGTCTTTGAAGGAGAATGATTTGGACGACCATCTGGCTCAAATAATCCGGGAAAAGAGAATCAGGGAGCAGAAAGATCCTACGTGAGGCTCTCTTAAGACTGCATTAACTTTGTTCAGTAGGGAAAATAAACTTGAACATTTTGCAATGCACCTTATTTTGTGACATTCACATTTTTTATATTCTTGAATTGATCGGTCAAATTATTATTATTTTTTTTGACATTACTAAGTTTTCTCACCACACTATGTCCAGTGATATGCAT